GAGGCACAGGAGACTTTGGCTTCTCTGGCCCCGCAGTGCGAGGTAGGGCTCAGCCCTTGCCTGCATAACCGCATCCCGCCCCTCATGTTGGCTGCCAAAGCCCCCCAGAAGTGGTGTTTCACCTCGTTTTAAATCCTAAAGCCTGACCTTGAGCAGGACACTGGTTCCCAGCATGAGTGATGCTGGTCTCGGGGATCTTCCCTACCTCAACTGTACAAAATCGCAGGAAATATTCTGAGAAAACAAATGACCAAAAGAAAATAGTAATAATAAAAAAACAATAATAAGAACCTACTAACGGGCAGTTGGTGAGAGAGGTGAGAAGCATGACTAGTGGAAAAAGTGGTCCCTTCCAGTGTTGAGGGTGTACGGTTGCTGTTTCTCTAACTCAGGCCTGAAGAGGATGTGTTGGTTGTGGATGTGTTCTTTTCTGGCCTCCGTGTTACAGTGAGGCGGTGTGGAGGTGTGCTAAATCCTGAGGTTTTTGAGGTGTTTGTGAGGGGAAATATTTAAAAGCTTTGCATGAGAATTGCGACCCATAAACTTTAGGACTGGAGGAAGCGTAGCCACGTGAACAGGCCCGCATGGAGAGTTATTCGGTAGGATGGAGGAAGAAATTTTAATAGATACTTCCCGTAAGTATAAAGGATCACTTACTATGTCTAAAACACACGGGCATTGGTTTTTTGTTTTTTTTTTTTTTTTTTTTAAGAAGGGAGGTGCTTTAGAAAGTGCTTTCATGGGTCTACTTATACAGCTTCGGTAATGGAAGTTGCAGACGAGACTCTGCACCTGAAAGTTAGATTGTACGTTGTTCTCCCACCCTGACTTCATACATGGTGAGATCTGTCGCCAAAGACAGTATGAAAAAATTGAAGAGTTAAACTGGCGTAACTAAATGCTACATGTTTTACGGATAGCAGTCATTTCTGAAAATGAAACTGAAAATGAAAACACTTCAGTTGTATTTTTCTCTGTTTTGGTAGGAAGAAAACAAAAGATGTTTATGGAGAAAGAGATGAGGAGGAAAAAAAGATTATTGTGGGGAAACCTGTTAATTAGCATTGTGAAAAATGCAAGGAACAGTCAAATATTTTAAACCATGGAAAAAGGAAGTTTCTCTAATGTTTCAGGACTTGACACAATATAGACTAAATGCTAATTCTTAAGTTTTTAAGAGTCAGCATTTTCATACGGAAACCTCAGCCTTTCAATGATGAATTCAGGCTGGGACTAGCCTTGTGCAAATTTGTGCAAATTGGAGCCTAAATCTTCCTAGAAGACACATCGTTGGGAGCTCTGTTTGAATTCTGTCTCTCAAAGGGTAAGGTGGCAACTCTTGTGGCATAAAGCCTCATTGTGTAGTTATTTTTAATACTTCTAATATTTTTTTTTTCAACAATAAAGAGATACAGGTTTATGAGGAGAGAAAACATTTAATTACTTAGAGTAATGCCTAAGGTGACATTAATGCTAGTAGTTCAGTTGCATGGCTAACCTACCCATGTGTAGCCCTTGCCAAGACCTATATGACTCTTCCACCAATTTTGATTAGACAGCAAGATAACAAAGGGAACACTAATTTTGCGTGCTTTGCCAAGCATTACTGCTATACAATATTGTACAGTATTTTTCTAGAATAATGTAAGTGAAACAGATCAGGACAGGGAAATGTGTATCATTATCATGCTTTTTTCAGATAAAGGAGATAGCTAATGTTAACATCATCAAATTTAAACACTTCCTTTTTTTATTGTCTGTAACAGCACTGTCTATGCTTATTTCCCGCCCTGTTTTAGCCCGTAAAAGTAAAAGGGCTGTTACTAAAATGTAGGTAGAAGAACCTCTTTCCGTAATGGCTATAATTATTTTTAATGTATATTTTTTTAGCTACAATGTATCTCTAGTGGATGTGAAGGTAACTTCTGGTTGATTTGAGCATTACTTTAATATTACTAATGCTACTTTCTAATTACATACTCATATTTTAATGGACAGTGTTGAATAGGCTAAACTTTGAAGGGAAGTAACACAAGGATACAAGATTTACGTACTTGTCAAGAATTAGGGCTGTTGTCACTTGTTTAATGACAGTTTCAAAAAACATATAAAAATGTGATTAATTCAGGATGAGGAAGTAGAATCATCATAATGTTGTATGAGGTAGTATTTAAATTAGGTCTGTGTTTATTTTACCTTAAATTTGTACCCTCCGAACCTGTATTAGAGCAAGTAAAGGAATTGCAGTCTGAAATTTTGCATAAAAGTCTTCAAGAAGTATGTAAAAGCGATCTGAGATTTATTTTTTGTAACCTATATGCTACATCTGGTGCTGAAAAAGAGCTCTACCTATAAAGAATTGGATGAAAATCCTGGTTTCCTTTACTTGCATAGTCCATTTTCTTCTGCTGTAGGTGTGGATATTTCTGTCAGGAGAGAAGTTTGTTTTAAAAATAGGAGAGCATGACCATGAACAAAAAAAATGACAAGGGTCACAGAGGCAGGTGCTGTACCTGAGCCGATGTTTGACTGAGTAGATGTTGATGGGAGGAGTCTCTTTAAGTTTCTTAGTTTTTGCGACCTTACACTTATGTTTTCACAACTATTTTTAGACTTGTGTATGAACTTCCTTTTTTATTGCAATTGTCTAAATATAGCCTTTTTTCTCAGTAATGCTGTTTTTATACATTCTGTGTTTTGTATTTGTGTGTGACTGCAGTTTTTACCACTATCCTGAATCAGTAGTAGGATATTTTGGTCAGTTTGTAATACACTGTTAGTCTTTAAATCAACTAGAGTTGATCACAATTGGTGCTCTTGTCTGAAAATATGCTTTTTCTTTTTTTAAAGACTTAGATTAGAAAATGAAGACTGTAGAAGAGCAAAAGCTTAAACAGAGTTGGTAGAGATTTATTTTTACCTTCCATCTACTTGAAACAAAACAAAAATTTTCTAGGCTTATTACAAAAAAAAAAATCCTCTGCTTGAAAAAACATGCAACTTAATCTTTCAATTTTTAAAAAATGTTAGACTGTTTTTTGTCTTCTACCTGCAAAATTTCTGTGTTAAGCACAGCAATAGAAGAATTCTGAAGATAGGCAGTGAGCAGAAACCTCGGCCAGCCCTCAATATGCACTTTATGTGGCCTCATAGCCCTGTTAATAGTGAAGGTGATCTGAACTGCTTATGGAAATTATTGGTTGTAATCATGTATAGTCATAATTGCTATTAGTACAAATTTACAAGTAAAATAAAGACAAAATACACGTTATGCTGCACTCGGTGTAAATTTAAGGCTGTTTGATATCACATGCTTTAGTCTTTTAGGACATCAGTTAGCATAGTGAAAATTTGTAGGTTTTCTGTCTTTACGCTTTTTTTATATTGTTCACAGTCTGGTATCTATCTGCAAACCATTTCTGTGTCATCAAATGGATACCAAGATGCCGAAGAGATGTGAATTTAAAAGCTAACATGTATTGTGTTTGGAAGACAAACTTAACCCACATACTTAGTATTTTAATTTGATAGATGTTTTTCAAGTCGCAAAGTTATTAATTACATGCATTTGTTCTGAAGTAGTCTGAAACTGTAAATATAAAGAGAAATGCATTATGCCTATTCTTGCAGGTATGTGGATAGCGGTAAGGCTGTAGGAGTGATGAGTTTTGAAACAGTAGAGAAAATCTGCAGGTTTGTGTATATTCAGTGTTACTGTGCATGAGGGGTTGTACTAAAACTTGCTATTTAATTGTTGTCCTTATTTCTCAGTTATGTGATTTATTATAAGGCATTTAGATGCATAGGCGTGTGTCTTTTTTTGGCAATGCATGCATGGTAAAAAGACTGAATATAATTTAATAAAATTGTAGCCTCTGAAGGACCACAAAGTGGAGTAGTAGGGCTTATATAAATTTAACCTTACCTTCACAGTGGCATAACTGGCATAGTTGTTTCGAAGTTAAAACCTACTTGGTGTGGGGTTTCTCTCTAGAGTCCTGTACTAGCATTGAACGTTGTTTGCATCTCTGCCTGAGTTTGCATGCATCTGAGTACTTGACTAACAGAACCAAACCTCAGACATCACGTGTCTGCACAGTTTGAGTCAGAGGTCAAAATCGGAAGTATAACTTCTTGAAAATCCACTGTAATCAGCTAAATAAGAATGTGAAGCTTAGTTAGCTAGCAGCTACATTTGTGTGGTTTTTTTTCTATTGTTTTCTTTATTCTGGCATTGTGTATTATAGTCCGTGGGGTTTTCCTTCTCCTAATCCCGCATTTAAGATGAAACAAAGGCAGAATAATTTTAGTTGCTTGGAACTTACTCATGCAGTTTTGATAATTGGCTTTCAGTCTATGCATATATTAGTTGTATGTTCTTTGAGAGGAAAAGAATAGGATGACTTTAATTCCAGGGAGGTCACAGAGGTTTTTGAAGGATATTTTGAACTTACGCTTATAATAAAGAAATGATAGAGGTGATGTAGGTTGATTAAACAATAAATTTTACACATATTCATGGGAGTTTATAAAGCGTTTTCAACAAGTAAAGTATTATGCTATTTGTTGGTGAAATGCTTGAGAAGTTAAAGATTGCCTTGCATAGTTGCTTGTATAGTAACAAGGTAGATTTTATAGGTGTTAATCAGGAAGAACTATGCTGGTAGTTAAATTTTAAGGGATTTATTGTAACAATTGCTCTTGGTTCACCTGACTTAAAACTCTCTCTGCAGTAAGGTTGTTTGACAGT